TGAGGGTTGCGATCCATTGCCGGACATGAAAAAAGACAAAAAGGAAAAAAAAAAAAAAAGACAGGGAGTGTCTGGTCATTCAAGCACCCAGACTGATGATGTTTCCACCACCCTCAACATGTGGCTTTCAAGGTTGCCCTGGTCATCATCATTCAAGGGAGCAAAGAGGCACCCTTATGGGAGACTCTGGGCAAGACCTAGAAGTGACACAAGTTATTTGCACTGATAATCCACTAGCAGAACCAGTCTCAGGCCACATCTAACTGCAAGGGAGGCTGGAAAATGTAGATAGTGGGAAACCTTTTGCCCAGTTACTATAAAAGAAGGGGAGAATGTATTCTGGTGAACTTGCAGTCTCTGTTCTTGAGAGACACAGAAAAAAGGAATTAGTTGCCAAGTAAGCAGAGCTATGCAAGTTTCCCCTGGCACAAACAGGTTCTTACAGGCAGGTGGACAGGCAGACCCCAGCCAAGTAGATAATGCACAATTAAAGCATTGTCATCAGGGGAGTTCTACAACNGTAAGTGTTAATCCTTCTTCTAGGGTATTGAGTTTTAGGTTTCTGTTTTAGGAACCAGAAACTTTGTGAATCTAGGTTATTATAAAGTAAATTTAATTACTTTCTCGTTTCACACCCAAAGCCAAGGCCTTCATTGCAGTAGTTTGATAGTGGATGGATGAACCCTGGAGCGATACTGGCATGTCATTGTTGCAGACTGGAAAGCACAAATTTGAATAAAAATAGAACATTTATTCCATTTATTTTAATGGCTGGGAAATACAAATGAAGGTATAGATAAAAGATGTAGAAAAAGAAAAGAAGGTTAGCTCAGTTGGTTAGAGTGCTATGTTATAAAACCAAGGTCAATGGTTCATATCGCCTTACCGGACATCCACCAAAAAAAAAAGAGAGAGAGAGAGAGAGAGAAGGAATTAAGAACCTGAATATTCTAAGAAAGAGGATCTGAGATTAGAAATTCAACTGAACCCATATTTTCACAAGAAGTGAACCCAGAAAGCAAAAACCCTCCAGTAACTGATACTATCCTCAACGGCAGGGGCTGTGTTAACATCTCTGTGTTCCCAATCATTCAGAATCAGGCACTCCACAAGCACTTGCTGACTGAAGCAATGATTAATGAGTATTCTTCCACACAAATCTTAACCACCAGGCTCTTCTCTAATGTGGGTTCTCTTCTTTAATCCTACAAGAATGCTTGTCAGATCCTTCTGAAACGCCTTGAGCCCATCATTAAGAAAAATCCAGAAGGTACATGGGAAGACTGGGTAAGTGTTCCACTCCATTTGTTACTACCAATGAGAAACAATCTAAACCAGTACTGAGAGAGCACCACAGCAGTGTATACCCCTTCCCCCAAGGAGACAGTTCCTTCAGTATCAAGTGAATGCAGCATGCCCCATGCATCCACCCAGCTGAGTGGATTTCTGCAAAAGGGCAGGATCACCAAAGGTATCCCAGGTATGTTCGGAGAGAGTGCACAGGAGACAACAGTACTGGGAGGAGGGATGGAAGTGTATGAAGAATACGCAGAAGGCCTAACCCACTCTGCTTAAGAAAGAAGAAAAGACTGAGCCTTCATCAGCCACAAAAAAAAAAAAAAAAAAATTG